CTCCCACCATAACCTAGGCTGCAGTCATGATGAAGCATGGATGTGCCCACACGACAACAAACTTGCTGTGTCAGGACATGAGCAGTCTTGTTGCATTTCTGCCTGGAGCACCCAGCAGAATACAGGATCATTTGCTCAGCTTCTCCAGCAGATCGCACAGCCCATGCAGATCTCTGTGCTGTTACAGCTACCACTTCAGCTAGCTTGCCTGAGAAGAAGCCGTGTGAACCACAGCCATTGCAGTGTGGAAAAGTCCTATAATACAGTATCTCTTCTCACCATTTGGGCTCACTGTCTTCCCTTCTCCCAGACTTCCACTCTTTCTTTCAGAGCCCAACTCACCGTTCTCTTGGAGGCTGTGAAAGTTGTAAGACTGAATGTGCGTGGAAATGGGTGTGAGGGACTAGGGAGTGGTGGACATCTTCTCCCAGCCTCCCAGAGTCAGATCCCTCCTAACCAGTCACTTTTCAATATGAAAGCTGCTCTAAGGTGCAGATGGAATAATGTTACACCTCTGCTTCATCCTTTCTGTCCCAGTGCCATTAAGGCAGGGTGATACAAAAGGTTCATTTGCATGGACTAATGAGCATCACCACATACACTGAGAAACTCTTGTTTCTTTCAGCTCCCCTCAAAGGTCACAGAAATCACTCACCTGAAGCAAGCTTTCTGAGTGTTTCAGCAGGAGGCACTGGGAGACAGGAACATACACTGCAAGCTGCAGAGAGAAGTGAACTGGGGATGTGCTGGATCGTCAGAGAGAAGCTCACCAGTGGATCCCCATTAGTAGAGTTAATGTCTTAGAGTTCCAGAGGAGTTTGGTACTATATTCAGTGAAAGAGCTGGGAAGTAGGTCAGCAACATAACTGAGGGAGAGGGGGAGCTTTAGGGAGAATTTCATGGCTGACAGCTAATTAAACTCTGAGTTCCACTGCTTACTATTGCAATGATTAGGTTTCAGTGTGCAGGGTGAAAAGCAACAGCAGGGATTGTGTTTGCTGCAAACTTTGTTGCAATAAACAACAAATTGTTGTCCAACCTGTGCTGGATAGTGTGAACATTCTCTTCTGCTCACACTGTCCATTTGCGATGCCATCTTGTTGACTTGCATCAGTCTTGCATCCTGCAGCCACTGACAAACCAAACACCACCGGTACACATCCAGTGCTCTGCTCTGGCCCTGATCAGAGAGTAGCACTGTGAATTGTCTACACATTTAACCGTGCTCATTTTATATCAACGGCCCTGCTGGGAGAATTGAGTCCCATGAAAGTACCACATATGGCCAGATGCAACTTTATCCCTTCTCTAAAGAATTTTAAATCAAAAGAGGTGAGACAGACAATCAGAGTTAGCTACTGGACACAAACCATGGGTTTTTCCTAAACTAAATCCATATTTGGAAATGCCTTTCATCCCATGTGTAGGTAATAAGCTCTTAAAGTGAAACCAAAGCTAAGTAATATCACTAACAGATGCCAGTCTAATAACAAGTAGCTGTGGTTTCGGTTGGTCAGTTCATCACAAAGTGCTTTACGAAAGAGTTTTGTGATGTTTTCCATGCCTTACACCTCATCTTGAACAGAGAAATTTAGTTTCCCATCTCTGAAGGACATGGGGATGCAGACATCTTTTGGGGTGTTTTTTCTTAATTAAAAAAAAAAATAATAAAAGAAGTGAGAGGAAGAAAAGAACAATTGAAAGCCAAAGGTAAAATTCTGGATTGCTATCCTGCCAGTGCTGACAAAAATTACAGGCACAGCTGACAAGATAAGACAGAGAAGGTGTAAGAGGGTGCAGGAGCTAGTGTAATGGCTCTGCTTCTCCATGGTTCTTGTTGCACCTGAGGATATGGGTGCAGAGGGCTACTGAAGGTCACTGGGTATTTGCAACTACCAGTGTGTGAGTTATTAGCTTTGGTCCTATTTTAAGTTCTTAAAGACAGAATTTTGCCTGGAGGGTGGGACAATGGGTTCATCTGCTCCTTACTGGAGCCAGCAGTGGGTGGAGGACTCATTCAGGCATGGTGAAAGGGGAATTGCCCTCAGGAAGGACACTTAGGCCAGCCTGAGGTGCAAGCAAGTCATTTTGTGTCAGGCTGCTGGCTTTCTGCAGGACCTCCCCAACACTGATGAACTTTCCCGTGCGGAACAGGAGGCTCTGTGGGTTCAAGGGGCTGACCTGCACGTAGCCAGATGTCAGATCAGTTCCCAGGAGGGCCCCAAATGCCCCTTGTTTGTCACCCCGTTGCCCACACTGTCCTTTGCAAACACAACACTGGTGATGTGACTGGGGAGTGAACCACAACCCAGGGCTCCTTGGGATGCTCCTACCTCCCCATATCAGCCATAGGCAACAGTAGGGCATAGTGACAGACACAGCAAGACACCCCTCTTCTTGCTTCTCTTCTCAGTATCTCTCCCAGGGCTCACTCACAAGTGGGGACGGGCTTGCCCTGGCTGGGAGGATGCGACGAGTCACGTCTGAGGGCAGGCAGAGCATCAACGGGGACTGTCCAGGGCAGCACAGGGGTCAGTCAGGGCAGGGCTGGGGGCTGCCCCAGGCAGGGCGGGCAGGGCTGCTGGGGGTGGGTCCGCATCCAGCCCTGCCTTTCAAAGTCCCTCGCTCCGAGGAGGAAATAGGGAAATATTTCCAGCAGCAGCAGCAGCAGCAGGAGGAGGGGGGTTGAAGCTGCCACCGCGGAGGAGGGACGGCGGGTTTCTGTCCCCGGGATGCGGAGGGAGGGGAGGCTGCCTGCGGGGCGGGCCGGCTGAGCGCATCCCCGGGGCTGTGTGTGTGCGTGCGCGCTCCCTCCATCTCTCCCTCCATCCCTCCCTTCCTCCTTCTCTCCCTCCCTCCCTCTCTCCCGCCCGCCGCCGCCGCGCCGCAGCCGCGCACCGGGGCTCCGGCACCCGCCCCGCGTCCCGCCGCGATGCCTCGCCGCTGCTGAGCCGGCCCCCGGGCGCCTGCTCCTGCATCCCCCGCCTCCGACAGGTAGGACCGCGACCGGCCGGACCCAGCCCGGCCCCGACACCGGTTTCTACACTGGGGTCCCTAGTGTCGGGGAGGATGGCGGAGGAGGGATGGGGGGCCAGGAGCCGTGTGGGAGATGATGGGGAGGAGGGGGTAGGATGCTTCCCGCTCCCTCCGGCCTCGGGAATGCGTTTTCCAGCCCAGGCATGGCACCTTTGGGAGGACGGTGGGGCTCGCCCCCCTCCCCCGCCGGCCAATCGCAGTATGTCGCGACAGGAGGCGCGGCTGCGGCGGGGGGCTGCCTCCCCACTACCCCCGGGGCCGGGCATTGCTGGGCAGGTGGGGCTGGGGAGGATGCGGGAGCAAAGAGGCTCCCCTCGGGGTGCTTACGGGCATCTTCGCCCGTACGACGCGGCGGGGAGCGGTGCCTCCGCCCGGCGTGGCTGTCCGTGCCTCCGGGCAGGGCTGCTTTTTCTCCAGCTCCGGGCTTTCTGCCTTGAAACGGTTTCCGAGGTGAGCGGCCGGAGCCACCTGCAGCCACGATGAAATTCCCGTTTTCGTCTCGACCAGCATGTGTTGTTAAGGGCTGGCATTAAGCTGCGCTCATCACGTAGGCTTTGTCTAGGTGGAAGCATGGCTGGGGCTCTTCCATCATCTCGAGTTTAATTCTTTAACCGTAGCCTTGTTGCTTCCCCACACTCAGCTCTGTCTCCAGGGCGAGAGCCAACTGCCAAAACGTTGCAGAAATGCAGCAAGCACTAGGGAGAACTGGAGTCTAAAAATGAAAGCTGTAGTAAAACCACAAGGTCACAGGCATGTGGGTGCGAGTGATTTCAGGGCTCCTCTGCTTGCGCTTCACAGGATGCTGTTCATCCAGTCCCAGATGTTGGACATCCACGAGCCAGGCAATGGAAATGGGGGCTGAGACAGGCTGGGGTTCTCTGCACACTCTCCCGACTCCTGCCCAAGCATTCATGTGCTTTTTCTCACCAGCACAAAGGGAAGAGGTGCACACTTATTTAGAAAAGGGAAGCTTGGACACTTGCATGTTGATGGCGGCCGGGGAAAAAAGAGCTGTGCTATATCACTTTGGCTGGGGCAGTGGACATCACCAAAGAAAGGCATTTGTCTTCCTCTGGGTGCATCTAATAAACGTTTCTTTCTCCCCTTTTCCTTCTGATTGGCTCTTCAATAGCAGCTTTGCCCATTTTCCAGCAGAGGTATTTAGCCCAAATAGGAAAATAACTCAGCATTTCTAGAGCCATTATCATGAACCCCCACCACTGCCTCCCCAGGAAAGTTGATGCACTGCCTAACTCCTCTTACACCCCACCAGCTTTGCGTCTCTGGAGGCATAAGCAGCTCCTAAGCCAGTGCTGGGGAACCACACTGCTCGAAGCTTCCTCTGTAGCAGGGTTTGTGTTGCAGATGTTTGAGGAGGCTGGAGGTACTCTTCGTGCTCAGCGTCCCTGAGCACCAACACTGAGTAACACAGTTTTAAGCTGATAAAACTTTGCTTGCTTCTCTCTCCCCCACTTTCCCCAAGCTTTTTGTGATCTTCTGGCTGTGAACTGCTCCTGAGAGTTCAATATTCACTGTTCTGCAGCTGGCCAGGCTGTACATAGTTTGCTCTCCTGGCACTGTTGTACATGGCAAAGCATAAAGTTGGCTCATGTTGGAGTTCTTGGTAGTCTTCACAGCACCCTGCATGATGCCATAAAGGTGCAGCCATTTCTTTGCCTCTTTGGGCCTTTGGTATTGTCCTGACCTGCTCAACGTTGTCTGGGTTGCAATGTTCCAGTATTACATCTAGGACAGAATGTGGTTTTCTGCTGTGGGATGTTTTTTTGAGGGGGGGATACAGTCCTGCTGGCTTACCAGGGAAAAGCCACTCTTCTCCAGCATCCTAATGAAACTCAGATCCTATAATAAAGCCCAGTGTGCCCCAAGGCATGAACATCACTGGACAACCAACCAACAGGTTGGTCATAGACAGCACAACTGGCATGCAATACTGCCTCTCCTTGCAACCAGTACAGTGAAAACCTGGAGCTCTGTTCAGTCTCAGGGTGCCGTGATCTATATGTGCTCCCAGCTCATGGACGTTGGTGCCCACACCTGTGCAAATACTGGGTCTGCTGCAGGGTGCTCAGTGTGCTGTGCCGTTGGGAATCTGGCATCCAGTGTAGGCTGAGCTCACTGACTGGCCTTTCTCTTGCCAAGGGTGTGAGTGCTATCTCTCCAGCTATTTTCAGGCAGCTTGTAGGAACTTAGCTTTCTCTGCTATCTCTGTTCCTCTAGTGATTTTAACTGAAGTTAGGGGGAGCAATGTGAAAAGACAGGCAGAGGTGGAAACTGATTTCATATGCCTGGCTTCCTAAGGGAACCTGGCTAACTAATAGAGGTGAGATTTGCTGCTGCAAGGAGCTCCTGGGGAAACAGAGAAGGTGGGGAACACTGGGCAGGAGGGACAGGTGGTTAATCTTGCTTTTGAGATAAGCAACCGAGACCTGGCAAACACGTGGGCTTAGATTCCCCTTCCTGAGATGTGGTGGTTTGAGAGCTGAGCATCTGCTCGGCACTAGGGTTCAGCTCCCTCTAGAGTCAGCGGTTCAAGAACTGTACCTCTGGATGGAGACTCTCCTTTTACCACCCTGCACCAGCCAGGGCAAGGCACCCAGCTGAGGGATGGAGCATGCTAGGGTGGGTCTCCAGCCCAAATTAATCTGCTCACCTCCTGTCTAGGACCATGTCCAAATCACCGAGGTCCACAACCTGCATTCGCCTCAGCCTTACTCCACACACACCCCCAGGCATGCCTCCCACCTCCTCATCCCTGGATGTGTGCAAGAATATGGGGCTGCTGACTTGTCTCTGCTCCCTTGAAGCTTTCTGTTCCTCCTTCCCACAGAGCCCAGGAGAGCATCCCACTGCACAGGGGACCCACACAGAGCTACAAACCAAATGCAAAAATGGACCCAGAGGGAAGAGTGGACACAGGCAGACAGAGATGAAAGCAACAGGCCTGCTAATTCATCACTCCTGGCCCCTGTGGGACATCTCTGGGCAGATGCTTCCTTCCAGGCTACCCAGGAGCCTCAGGCTTATTAGCACTGTTTTATTCCCCCAACACTCAGAGGAGATGCTCTTCCCATTTCACAGAGGAAGACACAGAGCACAGGGAGGTGAAGGGCTGCCCTGAGACCACAGAGGGAGTCTGTCTGCAGGGCAGCCTCAAAGGTGGCTCTTGGGGAACAGGAAGGTAGCACCGTGCTTAAACCAGCAGGGGAGATCCACAGGCAGAGGAAGGCATTAACAGCCCAGGAGGAATAATGGAGAAGAGGCTGATGCTGCTTGATAAAGACGAGGACAAAAGCAGGTGGCAGGGATAAAGAACTGGTCTGGAAAGATCAGTGAGTAGGAGAGGAGATATATATATATATATATATATATATATATACACACCCATTAAATAAATAAAAGTATGACCCTAAAAAGCATTCTTCCTTTGGTTCTCATTTCCTGGCATTTTCCTTGCTGAGATCTTGAATCATGGGGGAAAGGGACGACTTGCCATTTGGTCTCCACACATTAAAAAAGCAAGGCTGGAATCTCCCTGACAAACACTTTCAAGCTCTGTCTTTACAAGCTGCCCCCAAATCCATCCAATCTGGCTGAAAATTTTATATTGAGGATGGTTTATTTTCTCTATTTATGTTTATTTTGGAAAGTTGCTGGGGAAATTGTGGGAGGAGATTGGATGTTTCATTGAAGAGATAGGATACTTGGAAAAATCAGTTGCAGACTGATAATTGTTCTTTTTTTATGTCCTTTACAGAAAAGAGGGTGGCCTGGTGTGTATTTTACTTGATTGGCTTCGTGGAGGGCTTGTGCCTCTGACTATATTTGGAAAGGTTTTAATGGGTTTTTTGTACTGATGCAATGAGGATGCTGATGGCCTGAGCATCGTTCTCCTGATGTGGAGACCTAGAGGGTCATAGGCAGGGGTTACCAACAGGCTGTGTTTGTTCTGGGGTAACAAGACAGGGTGGAAGGGAGAGGAGCTGGGCAGAGCTGAAGCAGGGCTGTGAGTCAAGGGTTTTCCCAAGCTGTGTTTAAAGTGCTGTCACACTGCGCAGCCCTGAGTGGCAAAATGGGATTTGGACATAGTAGCTTTCCTCCACGGGTCCGGATGCACAGCCAGCATGGCAGTAGGATACTCTTCTTTTAATGGGTAAAAATCACAGCTGACAGGAGCTGCTTTTTACCAGAGGTGTGCCACAGCTCAGCATCAAGATCATAAGCGAAGCTAGCAGAGCCTGTGGCTGCCCTGACAAATCTCCAACCACTCCGTACCTTTCAGGGCTGCTGGAATCCATTTTGTGTCCCTTGGTTGTAGGAAGCTGGACGTAGGCTCTTGGCTGGTTTACTGATTGATGGTCAGACACCAGACAATTTGTTTGTGCTTCTTTTTTTTTAACCCCACAGTCATGTGTTTTCCCACTGCAGGCTTTGCTTAAGTTGCCCTGCTGTGAAGCGGATTGCTGCTTTCAATGAGGCACAGGTCTACAGACTTGGGCATGGCCTGGGTCAGCAGGAGAGGAGAGGTCTGCTAGCCCTCTGGAGATGGGGCAGTGGGTATGAATCCGACCCACGGAGGTGAGGTGCACAGTGCTTTCCTCAGGGAAGTCTGGTTATTGCTTGTGGGGGACTCTTAGGTGTTCCTCTCCTGCAAGACAAACTGGGAAAGGGGTGCTGTGACTTGGAGACTTAAGGTTTGACCTTGGGGTAGGAGCACAGGGGCACATAACTTGAAACAGCCATTCTTGCTGTGAAGCAGGGATGACACACACACTTGCTGGCTAGGAGAGCCTGTCATCTCACTTGGGGCCTTTTTGGGGGTTGCTGTCTTTTCATCAGGGACAGTGGCAGAGGAGCGAGTAGTTGTCTCGCTCGGAGGCTCTGTCTCTCTATCTTGCAGGCTAGCTGTGCCTTGCAGCAACTGCTAGCTTCTTCCTTGTCAAAGTTTTTGGCCCCTCTAGCTGAAGAGAGACCATCTTTCTACCTTTCTCCTTCTCCTGCAGCAGCAGCAAAGGGGGTTTTGAGCAGCAGAGCACCCTCACTATCTCCTTTCTGTCTGTCTCTGACTGTGGGATGGGGAAGAGCTGGCTGGGAGTCCCTGCAGTGTTGCAACATGGTCCTGGTCATGTCCCCGTAGCATGTTGAAAAGCAGCTGCTCTCATGTGAAGAGCAAACTTCCTTCTGCCCCTCAACAACCCAGCAGTCATCCTGTGGGGACAGGGGGCTGCTCCCACCTCCCGCACACCAGTGACAGGGCTGTGCAGACACCCTCTGTCATGCAAGCTGGCAGTGAATTCACAGTCATGATGGCTGTTACGAATCTGATATCTCAGTGGGGTCGTCATCGTTGGCTGGCATCGGTGGTGGCTGTAATGGTGTGAACACTGCTGAATTGCTGTTGTTCTGTCTGGGTTTTCTGTCAAATGCTGGGAAAAAAAATCACTGTGGAAATTCTCTTTCTGTGGCCACTCATTCCTTGTGAGCCCAGGCCGTTTCCTTCCCTCCCCAGTCCTTCTTGTGTAATAAAGAGTCTGGGCTAGCAGTGTTTCTTCAGTACTCTGAAAAATAATGGTGCTACCAGCTTGTTGCAGATGGTCATAAAACTGCATGTGATACAAAGGTGTAGGAAAAAAACTGCAAGGGTCTTACAGTGGATATTTCAAGGGTGAAGTACCCAAATGGAGATTGGACTTTGGGGAGGCTGCTGCGAAGGAGAAGCTGTGCTTTGCTGAAACATAGAGCAGCTTCTAGGCTCACTTCTCATACAGCAAGCAGCCAGCCTGCAAGAGTGTTGCTGCCAGGGAAAGGTTAGGGCAGAGTCTAAAGGATGTTTTCTCCCTATCTGGCAGCTCCTGAGCTGGGGGGCTGGAGCACAAGCTGGCAGCAGGAACTCTGTCCCACCGGTCCATAAAGTCTAGAGCTCCCCATGCCCAGCAAGGAAGCATGTGTCAATGTGGGCAGCAACTGCCCTCCTGGTGTTTGACAACACCAAGGGTTGGCATAAAGGCTGGACCAGCAATCCTTGGCAGGGAGCTGCATCTAAACTGAGCTTGCCTGGAAGAGCCATGTAGCCTCTTGAAGGTTTTCTTCCATGACTGTGCAAAACCAACTGCTAGAACCCTGGGGGGAGCTTGTCCATGGTAGCACAGCTTCTACTTTGGGAGAGCGTACGTTAGGATCTGGCTCTCCTGGTTAGCTCCAGCTCCTTTGAAAGTTCTCAGGCAGCCAGTTCCAGGGATCCCCAGGACAACCTGTTTCCTTTGGTGATGAAAAGGGCTCTGGGATCTATCCCTGGGCATTGGGTAGTGATTATGAGCAAGGTTTTTTCTGGCCTGGGGTGATGGTTTGGGATCCTTCACCACACATATTTGCTAGCACTGAGCATAAGAGCAGCTTGAACCCCTGCACAGTGCTGCTGTGATAAATCTAAGCCAAGAGGCATTGGGAGAGTGATAGGGAGGCCATGAGCACTGTGGCAGCCAGTGTTTGCTGGGCTGCTAACCTCACATGCTGTGAATCAGCTACCACATTTGCTTTTATTGTTGATGGCTGGGATGGGAAATGCAATTGAGCCACCTTAATGAAAAGCTAACAAAGTTGGGTTTGGACAGAGGGCTGGCATTCTGGTAGCCTTGCTTCTCATTAGAGAATAATAGGAATGATTTTACTGGGAATATTCCTAACCCTGTGCCTGCAGCAGTGGGCTGACCATGGGCTGAGACCCTATGCGATGCAGTGAAAGAGGGTCTCTGAGGACTGAAGTGTTTATTTTGGATTCTACAAATAAAGAAATTCTGCTAATCTTATAGCAGCTGCTTCTCAGAGATATTTTTAGTGTCACACTCTGATTGTGTGTGTATAAACAGCATGCTGGGGCCAAGCATTTTCTAGCCCTCCGTAATTCCTGAATCTGGTGTTAATAACACTCATTGTGAATTGGTTCAAGTATCATAGAATCATAGAATAGTTAGGGTTGGAAAGGACCTTAATATCATCTAGTTCCAACCCTCCTGCCATGGGCAGGGACACCTCACACTAAACCGTATCACCTAAGGCTCTGTCCAACCTGGCTTTGAACACTGCCAGGGATGGAGTATTCACAACTTCCCTGGACAACCCATTCCAGTGCTTCACCACCCTCACAGTAAAGAACTTCTTCCTTATATCCAGTCTAAACTTCCCCTGTTTAAGTTTTAAGCCGTAGAAAAGCTGGGGAGGGTATGTGAATCTTCCTTGATGACTGTGCCACAAAACGCTGGAGAAAATCCAACAGAGTTGGAGGATGCTGCTGCTGCTCAAAGAAGGGTCCCAGCACATTGCCAAGGGTGGTGGGTTTCTCTTCCAAAGCTTCAGCCTTTCCCCACCCTTCTGAACTCTCCAGAAAAGTTCCATGCTTCTTATCTCCTGCCATCAGAAGGAAAAATGTTGTCTGTACATGGAGAGGTGGATGGGAAGGCCAGAAAGATGGATTGCTCAGATATCTCTTTTCCTCCTTTTTAATTTAATATGGGGCTTGATTAGAAAAAAGATCAAACAAACCCCAAAAGAAAAACCACCCCAAAAAATCTAAACAGACTTATACTAGAATGGTTGAAAGGGAGGAGCATGGCAAGTAATTTTAAAATGCCTTATTAATCTGATTTAGTGGCTGTCTTTTTTCTGCTGGCTGAGACTTCCACTGCTCAAATCCTTTTAAGACTATAGAGTTGGTCCAAAGTGTGATGGGACTCTCCTATTCTTTCTGACCTAAATCAGTGACCCAAAGCATAATATATTCTCTAGAACCATCTGTTTTCTCTTCTTGCCAAGGGGATTTCACAATGCCTGGTTGATCTGAATAATTGTACATGTGCAAGGATATGACATGCCACAGGGAGAAAATTAACTGAACAAGGGCAGGTGGATGCTCTTGAGTTTTCTGTTGAAACTACTACCCTTTAGAAAGAGAGGGTGAAGACCCGTGCAGCTGAGTAATATTTTATGCCCACACTAAGTCTTTTTTAAACCTATGTATTTAAATAAATTAAAAAAAAAATCAAAACTCAACTACACTTAGGAGCTATCTAGAGTAAACAGAGTAGATACCAAGTCAGCTTCTGTTTTGACACCTCCTTTATCAAATGTCTCTGAGACTTGGTTTGGAGCAGCGTGAAACACAGGAGTACAGATGTTGGGTGACTAATTGGCTAAACTTCAGTGACCATGAACACACATCTGTTTCAACTTAGCTATTCACCAAATAGCCTGTAACAAGGTACTCTTCTTTACAAACATCATGTTTTCAGTTTTTTACTTCAGATTTGTTAGCTATGCCTACCGCCTGAGTTCTGGGAAGCAGGAGGAACTCGGGGACTGTGATCAAGGGAGCAA